CTTCCAGGTTAGCAGGTTAATAAGTTCCGCAAACCAACAGTTCGTATGAGTATATAATTTTTATGACGACGTGTTAACGGATTAACAATTAACGTTAACTTGCGTTAAATGTTAGAAGGAACATGTTCGTCGATTTATATGGAGACCGAGCGTGCCACATTTTGTGTAGGTATCATGACGTCACGATCTTAATTTAGTGATGGAAGACATAATTTCACTTGCATCGTATACATGTTCTATTTGAAACGACATACCGATTCTTATCGATTGAAAAACGATATCGATCGACGGAGACCAACGTGTACAGTCTGTCTATAAAGTCATGAAAAGAATGTTTGAACATTAGACACAAGTATCACAACACTGAATCAAAGTACATCGACTGTCAACAACTTGATTTTTTAGCTCGATTTTCTGCATTTTTGATTTGTTTTGATTAAACTGAAGCTACTTCTTCTAAACTCCGTCGAAAAGTGTTAAAAATGAAGAGAATTAATCAGAGTGAAGCTCAGGATATTATTTATAAAGTTTTTCAGTGATGTTTATTGGAACAAGAAGCTGGACACATTTTATCATATTTGTAGAATGTTAAAGCTCGAACGGCAGTAATCGTGTTACTGATTGAGTTTTGGTTACCAGAAGTTTCAAATTTACTAAATATATGAATTTAAGTATTGATTACATTATGCATTTATAAGTTAGATTGAAAATGTTAGAAGGCTATATTGTAGTGCGGTCCGAACTTTCAATACTTTTGGATAATCAAATTTATCATTGATTTTAATCTGAATAAAAAATATACCTTTTAGGAATGTACGATTTTTACCTATGTACGCCAATAAAAAGTTTGTGCTTTATATTACTAAAATTATAGCATTAATTTGATCATTGTGGCGATTCCATTCTTTTTGCCAAATACCTATAGGTATTACATTTTTAAAACTTACTTTCAGGAAAATCAGAGAATATAGTGCTACGTATTGTAGATGAAGGTTATAAAAATGGTGGCATATTTGAAACCCCTGGGAAACATAGATAGTCGTCCTAAGAAATAAATGGTTAACTGCAACATTTGTGCACTTCGACAAAAGATTCAGTTCTTTTACTCTGTGAAAAAAGAGGTACCTACATGAAGAAAACATCAGTGGATTGCCAAAACCGATCTGGATTTTAATTGTAGCCTAGAAGTTCTGCGTTAAATTCTGAAATATATTGGGTTTTCTTACAAGGAGTGTCAAAGTAACAGGCTTTAATCGAACACAAGCACACATTGCAGTAAAACAAGAAAACAACTTGGCAATTATGAAAAAAAAAAGATTTATCAAAAATTACGATTACTATATTGTAATCTTCAATGTAGAATAAACTCATTGTCTACGAATTATACGCCTTTCTTTACCTTTTCTGGGGTAATAAGAGTAAAAAAAAATCCTACTATCAAAATCATTTGTCTCACTACACAGGGTTGCTACGTGCACGATCGAAGCGCCCTCAATTTTTTTCATGACTTTATAGACAGACTACCATTTTGCTTAAATATTATGTATATGTCACGAACTCACGTATGTAATTTAGTGAATCGGCGCAAAAAAGATTTTATGCGATAGAATAGAAATCGGCATTTTTCTGTGGGCAAACACTTTGTAGTAGCCGCTACCCCCTCCCGACACGCTACACATTTTTACGTCCTGTGTTGTTATGTTATGTTTCACGGCGGGCTTTTCTGCAACTCGATACTCAGTTCCTATTTTCCAGACACGGGGTTGCTTTAGTCCTGCCACCCCAGCTCCTCCAGGAAGCCCGTAAGATCTCGAACTCTGCCGCATGCTTAGATACAAGTATTTGAAATACAGATACAAGATACAAAATACGTATTTTCATCTTATATCTAAAATACTTTTTTTAGGAAGTATTTTGTATCTTGTATTTAAATACTTTTGTTTAGTATCTTAGTGTCTTTTAAATACTTTTTCTGATAAAATACTTTATAAAAAGATTATTTCTTACATTTTATATATATCACAAAACATTCTTTGCCTAAAACATACATATTTACAAAAAGAAAGTGTTCAATTATCAACACAATGAATATTTAATTGAAAATAACTCGAATCCAAACATTGTTTGGTGTCATTTAAAAAGTAAATGCGTAGAACTGAACGTACGGTTATACCGGTGTAATACACCCTCCCTAGTAAAAATTGATAGATGGCGCATAGGGCTTGAAATCGAATAACAATTTGATTTATGTAAAAACCCGGTTATGTGCTATAAATAAAACTCAGTATATCAATTAAACTCATTATTAAATTTTATTATTTTTTTGCACATTATACTTTTTCCACTAACAACAGCATTCAAAAAGTTTATTTTGAAAGAAATTTCACTGTGAAATTCGATACATGGCAAATGCTTGAAATTATATCCCATGAGCAAAGCAATATTGATTTTATTGACTCAACAGTTAATCTTTTTCTATCTTTTGACCACTGCATATTCATGAGCGAAAAAAAAAATCAATATTCGCATTATGAGGCATAATAACAAAAATACTGACAAATCTTCAGTAGTTCGGAAACGAATGCTGTCATTGCATATATTGAAAATAATTACCCACTGCTTTTCAACTAATTCGTCATAAAAATAAATTTGTTAATAGAAAAAATTCTTCAAATAATTTCTTTTACATCGTCAATTAATACTCCTTTATTTTTCAAAAATACAACACAATCTGTGATGTAATCGTATAGTAGATTTTGCTTTAATAAGTAACCATTTAATTCAAGGGATCTTTATTGAGAAACAACAAAAAAATGGGCGGAGTCCTGTCTTAATATTAGGTCTTTACCTATGTAATTGCCGTTCTGCTGTACTAGCCATTTAAAATCAAACTATATTTTTACCCACTCTCTTCATCTCACTAGGAAAAAATGAATTTTCAGTTCTCCGTAATTTTACGTCGTACGTAAAACCAGCTTTTTAAATAAATAATAATTTTATAATTAAATTTAAATAATTATTCTTGTTGTTATATTTCAGCAATTTTTCATTCACAATGCTATATTGAAAAAAAATATTATTAAAAGGAACTAAAAAATTTAAAATAAATATTTGCATTTTTATATGTTACATTGTGATTGACAAACAAATAAAACGGAGGAAAAGTGGGTGAAATTTAGCTTGTAAGATTTGAGTACAAACACAGGTGAAACCAAATAAAAGCTTACAAAAATTGTTTCTAATGAAAAATGCTTAAAAAATCCACTTTGTCCCTGGAACCATCTGGTCTAAGATTTAGGTTTTTGTGGTCTTTAATAAACAAACTTAAATTCAAATCTTTTTTTAGAAAAGTATTTGTATTTATAAAAAGTATCTATAAGATACCTATTTTGTATCTAGTATTTCAAATACTTTTCTCGAAAGTATTTTGTATCTGGTATCTGAAATACTTAATTTAAAAGTATTTTGTATCTTGTATTCCAGATACTTTGTACAGGGTATTTTGTACCTTAATAGACTCCTGCATTCCAGTATCACATGAGTGCTTATGTGATACTGGAATGGAGACTGAGGAGACAATCTCCTCAGTCTCCATGCACGCCCTGCTCAGAGGACTGTCAGAATAACCCATGTTATATAGGTGTTTGTTAAAGTTTCCATATCCAGTAAGTATACCTAAGAGTCCTGTTGCTTCAATCCATTTATTTTTAATATTAGGATCATACGGAAAACTAAAACAAAAATTACAGTATAATTCCATTTAAAATTAATTATCCTTTCTTCTGCTTTCAAAAACGATATTTTTTTAATCGGGTAAAATAATCGCATTGCACAGCACTATTCTCCATTTTTGGCCTCCAACAAATTGACCTTGAATTATACATCGATGGTTTTACAAGCACAGCAAATTTGGACTGTCAAATTAAAGCCGCAATGGAAAGCACATGACCGTTTTGATAAAAATAATACGGAGCAACAAAACTAATGATTTTTAATTCAAAATAGATATATCAAGGCAAATAGTTACTTACAGATGGAAGGAAATACCTCGACTATAAGATCCAACCATATTGGTGGTGTTTGAGCAGGTAATTATCGAACAACGCATCATTTTAAATTTCGTCCAACACCGATTGCGATCGAAAGTGGACTGAGCCTCGCGGCGAGCAATGAAGCTGTCTAGACGTCGTTTCGGCATGCGAAGTACGTGTTCAAATGCATCAACGTGTCAAAATCGCTAACGGCAAAATCCTTTTCATTTGTGATAAAAACTTACATCAATCAGCAGCGCTTTTAAACCTATACAAACTTTCATTCACACATCGTTTAACTTTGTAATGGCTTATTGAGGTTTGGCAAGCGTGTGGGAGTGGCATTAATTTTAATAAAAGAAAATTTCATGAAAACTATTCATTAGCCACCAATTAAATATTATTATTTATTTCAGGTTGGTAAATGAATACATATGTGCAGGTGGATATGCAAATTAATGAAATCAATACTATGTACTTTTTTCTATTTTTAAAATTTTGATTATCTATTTTTGGAATGGGTGAAAAAGAAATAAATGCTATACATAAGGACATTTTATATACGGCTTCAGTTTATAAAGTTTGAGACAAAGTTTAAGCAGATATTTACAAAAGATTTTAGGGTATATTTGAATATGCCAGACTTGCTTTTAAAAGGCACGAAGAAATTATTTTATTTTTAGAACGACGCGTTTACAGAGATTTTTCGCATCCCATAACAACAGTTCTGTTTAAAGTTTGGAGTATGTTTACTTTGATGTAGAGAAACCGTGTAAAAACCAACACATGATGGCAAACTCCAAACGTGGTATACACTCGCAGATGCGTGTGGTGGACTTACAATCTTTGTAGATATTGTATTTGCGTTATTGAACACATGTCTCGCACTGGCGTAAAAAACTCTCATAATATGGCAATCCCGAACATGGAATCTTTTTTTAATGGCAACCGCGGTAACGCCATTTTGGTAAATATGGCTGCCTTGTTGTTGGCGACTGTTGGGTTGTTATGTTAAATGTTTATTTCTTTCGTTTAATATGAGTTGAATTTAGAGTCAGTGTTGAATACCTTGAATTGAGTACACATTAAAAGTGATCGGTAAGTTAATTACAAATAGTGTGTCCTTTATTACGCTTTACTAAATGCAAACGTATTCACTGTTATCCTATGGCAACGTGAGCTTTTCCTGATATTTTCGTTTCCTGGAATCAGTTCACCTAATAAGTCAATCAGAGAACTCTTGGCTTACCTCAGCTTTACCTGGTACTATTAAAAAATGCATATCACGTATTTATGTAAGATGTGACCTTACTATCGTCAGAATAAAATAACAAAAGATTTCCATCATGAACCTATTCGATCTAGAACTTCTCGATGTTATCGTCAATTCTTTATCAGATATTGAATATTTTGACAATGTATTTGTAAAATATTTCTACTTATGCACTTAAACATTGTTTAGAAACAAAAAAAATATTGTGAAATATTAAGGAAAGTGTAGCCTAATAACAGCTTTTTCCGATTCACTTTACTTTTACGACGAACGCTACGGCTTAGATTGCTTTCATATAACACATTTTATCATTGTATTGTACAGAATAAGGTCAAAACAATAACACAAAGCACACAAAAATATTATTCAAAACATGTAGGTAACCACAACAATAGTTTCATTTCTGTTAGTTGACTGAGAAAAACACCATACAAATCTATGTATGGTGTTTTTATCTATTTTTTACAAGAACTAGTACAGATGAATGTTCTTCTGAACCATGAAATATTTTACCACCCTGTGCTTTCTAATCTTATATTTCTATCCTACCATGTATGCATATTTTCATTTTCATAATATATGCAGTTTCAAATTATACATAGCTTGAGAAAATGACAGCAGAAACTGATTCAAACGGAATTGAGCATCATGGTCACTGACCCAGACATCTGACTAATAGTTTAATTCTACAATGACAATTTATAATGAAATGTTTATATAATGATAATGAAGTTTCTCTACTTTATTGAACATTTTTTTATTGATGTATTTATTTTAAATCTATTTGATTGAGACTTAATGCACTCTGTAAATATAACTACTTCTTTCCTTTCTCATAACTAAACATACAAATTAACTTTCTTAATGTGTTATGCTCGTAAACAGGTGTAAGTGCAGGTCAGTAGGAATGTTTATTAGGAGTCTGCTTTAGACTAAAGTAATATCTCATTTTATGCGAGGAATGTGTTCTAGACAAAATTTTGTTAGTGTGAAATTTAGTTATATGGGATTTTATGGTTGAACATGATCAAAAGTGAATGTATCTAATGAATTTTAAAACATGACTACTAGTTGGGGTAAATATATGATGAGAAATTTCAAATTCACGTTATAGTGAAACATAGATGTATAATAGGGTGCATTGTAATGGAGAGTGACTATTTAGACTTAAGAAAGTAAGTTTTCTTCTCTGTATGAAATAAAACAGAGAAAAAACAGCACTTATATGATCAATATTGTTTACTCAGTCAATTTTGAAATAACTACTGTTTCCATCAATGTCAAAGTAATCTTCTTAATAATACAACAACTGTTGACAACTTTTCTTTTATATTATAAATTGTCAAAGTAACAGCATGTCTGTGATCATTAGTTTGGAGATGTGGTGCCATTTGTGGAACTGCTGCTAGTCAAATACTGCTGCTCGCTTCAAATTCAAGGCACCAAGTGATGTCACACAGTGTTATGGCGATGTTTGTAATATCTATTTTAATCATATGTTTATAGCTGTCATAATGAAAGTTGTTACATTATATGTGACCAATTAATGCCATATGTTTTTTAGAAAATTATGGTAATACATTTTCCCTACTTTTCAAGTTTTCAAAGCATAATATTTTCCAAATAAGTGTCATAAAATTCATTTTGTTAAATTTTGTAAGTCAAAATGGTTCATATTTTCCAAACATATAACAGAAACCTGTATTTTCACTTGTTGAACACAAGCCAATTTGTAAAATTGTGGTCTTTTAAAATTTCTTAATAATGTTATTCTATTAAATTGGGCAATACCCTTTCTAATGACTTTAAATAAACTGCAGTATTATCAAACCAGTTCTGCCCTTTTGTAATACTATTAAAAAGCCATCAATTGAACAGGTTTATTGATATTGTTTCTATAATTTATTATTTTAAAGTTACTTTAGTTTGAGTCAGTTCTACTTTTGTTATACAGTGTATAACACTATTAATATGATAGTGTTTAAAAAAGTGATTCAGTTATGTGTTTTGTGAGTTAAGGTGTTTTCTGCCCTTGTCACTCCAGTGAAAATATGTTTTACTAATTTCTGATGTCTTATATGTGTTCCTATTGAACTTTTTCTAATCACTGCTCTTATTAGTGAGAAAATAATAAATAGGTAATTTTGGACATAGTGTATTTTTAGGTCTCTTATAAGTTAACAATGTGATAAAAATAAAAATCCTATTAAATATATTTCCATGATTCCAACAGTATGTTATCTATGAATGAATATCAATATAAGCTTTTGTCTTCAGTACCAGGTGGGGAAACCCAACAGTTGTATGACAGGAGAGCCAAACCAATGAAACTCCCCCCTGTGGTACAAACAGCATAAATCAAGATGTGGCCCGCGTCGCAATACTCTCACTCGAATGCTCATGTGGCTACCAGCAAGCAGAATGAGCATCAAAATCAACAAAATCTCAAGACACTGGGCATGACCTCCGCTATCTCTATGGCAGGTGAGACCAAATAACTATTAATTTACATATGGAATGCCATAACTCATGTAATAATGTAAGCTTAACAGAGCAGCGATTATTGCCCTTAGGTCACAAGCGATATTGGAATAGGTCACGGGAACTTAAAAAGATATTGTGAGTAAACCACAGACTTTTAGTAAAGCAATCCTAACATCTTTTGCGTTGTTGCAAGCAAAATAGGTGCAAAACAATTGTATTGTAGTTTGATAGTGAGTTGGAAAGTCTACATATTAATAATCCTACCAATTCTATTGTGCCACTCTTTAAACCACACAAGTAACGTCTAATTTTAATTTTGAAATTACTACCACTGTTAATTAAAATGACCAATAAGGTAAATCAAAACTATCATGTAATAAGCCGAGACAAGATTATGTCATGCCTTGTTTGAGACAGTTTGTTAATACAGCAATTGGAGTGAGACCAACCTTTTATTTGCTTTAAAATTAGCAATTTGTACAGCAATTTTTGAGTAAGTTCGAGTCAGATTTTTTTTGCCATATAAATAATGATACTATTATTTTAATTAATATTACATGATTTAAGGCAATATTTCCCTTGCAATATTCCTACTCACTCTTTTGTTTTGCTAAATATTTTAACCTATATTTCGTAGCAATAGCCAATTTGTTTCAAACATTTAAATAATTCAGCAAAATAACAGACAAAATATTATTGTGACATTGATTAAGTGTGCTTCTCTACCACGATGGCGTTAGCTTTTTACTTGAAATCAACTGAAGAGACATTTTATTGTAATGGGAATATGTTAGCAAGTTGATATTAAATCAGTTGGCTTAATGTATTCTAGCTCTACGGTTGAAAATTCTGTTCAGTTATTTGACTACTTGACGGTTATTTGTATTTTTGAATGGTATTATTCAATGAAAGGGGTTGTTGTTTTATATTACTAAAATGGCTGTGTATACTTTGTCAGTGCTATTAATAAACAAGGTTTAGCGTGTGAGTAATTATACGCTAAAATCGCAATGTTAGTATTAGTTCAAATTCATATTATACAGAGAATAAGCAAACCTACTACCTACCTACCTTCTAGGAGTAAATATTACTCCCGTAGAATCTAGTATTAGGTTAACCTTTGCTAAGTCTCTGTTTAATAATATTAATTTTGACTAATACTCAGTGCAGTCCCAGCATAAATTTACTCCAACACCTTGGTTAGTAATAACACTTTGTGTTCAACCCTAGTTTGAATCAGCATAATTCAAATTTGTCAAAGGTGTCGAATTTCTAAAAATCTATTAAAGCTTAAAGAAAGTAAAATATTTTTTTTTAAGCTAGAGAAGTGATAAATAATCTTTATTCAAATTCAAATTAAATTATTTATTTTAATAAAGGCACAGTACACAATACATATATTTAACAGTAAATAGGACTATACAAGGTTGAGTGTCTCATGACTGCACTAAAAAGGGTAACTAGTTCAGCATTCGTCAGCTAGGGCTGATGTTCAACTATTACTCTTTATTGATCCATAGTCAGTAAAGCATCAAAACGATTACCAAAAGTTTGTTTTAGACTTGACTGCTGTGCAATAAATATTAAGCTTATATAATGTCTTCTATCAGGTCCGAAACCAATCGACATTGAGAAGACGAACGAGTTAAAAGAATGTCTTGTGCCATTTGGTGTGTTCGAGTCCGAAGCAGAGATGCATCATCGTATGGAGGTGCTCGGCTCTCTGCATCGGCTAGTCCGTCAGTGGATCCGCGATGAGTCGTTGCGCAAAAATATGCCTGCAAGCGTCGCGGAAACAGTCGGCGGGAATATATATACGTTCGGCTCGTATAGGCTTGGGGTGAGTTCACACTGATTATGTTAATTGCCAGCTGCGTTTGTTCAATTGTTTATTTATTTAGTTACATCTTTGTGTGACCTATACTCTTAACTGGACATGCTAAGTTCATATGCCAATTAGGTATTATTTCTCTGTTCACCTATTATTTTGTTGGTCCATAGGTTCATCATAGAGGGGCCGATATCGACGCGTTGTGTGTCGCCCCGCGCCACATAGAGCGGTCAGATTATTTCGCATCATTCTACGATCTCCTCAAGCAGCAGCCACAAGTATGTACACTTTTATTTATTTGCTTTAAATGCACCATCTTGAATTTATGCACCCCTTATACACATAACTTTGTACGATTATTTTGAAAGCGATACCAAACTGCCATGTTATTTTAGTGTCTTACGTATTAATTAATGTAACATTAAGATCAGCTCTTAATTTCATCCATGATATCATTTGGATTATAATATTTTTCTATACAGCATGGGCCGTTTTGAAAATTATTACTAAATTTTAATTGATAATACAATATTCAGGTAAAAGATTTGAGAGCGGTGGAGGACGCGTTCGTGCCGGTCATCAAGATGAACTTCGACGGCATCGAGATTGATTTACTGTTCGCGAGATTAGCTCTCAAAGAGATACCCGGTGAGTGTGACTTTTATAAATATTAGAAAAACATTACAATTATTGTAAATGATACGACCGTTTGTTTATAGCACACTGATATTTAATAATTTTGTTTGATAATCTATTTTAATACATACAAATATATAGTATCCCAAAAATATAATTATATAAAATCAAAGAGTATAATAAACCTGGTATTAAAAGCTATTTACATACTTATTAGAGCACAGCTAGTCGTGAACAATTATTATATGTTGCTTAGGTTTCAAGTCGAGTCCTTGTGTTATATTACTTCCGAAACATTAAACTATTTAGAAAGTAATTTCTTTTCTATACAGGCAGTCCCTGTATTACAGTGTAACGTTTTACGTCTGTCAATTTTGACACTACATTATCGTCATCGTCAATAGTCGTACGACGTCCACTGCTAAGCATAGGCCTCACTTATAGATCTCCATGACGATAGAATCTGCTTGGCCCATATCTAGCTGCTTCCCGCAAACTTTATTAGAATGTCGGTCCTCTGGTGGGGTCGTCTGGTACTCGGTCGTCATTCTAGAACTCTCCGTACCAACGGCCATTGATTATAAAATGAAATTAAAATATCTTTATTCAAGTAAGCTTGTTACAAGCACTTTTGAATCGTCCAAAAATTGTTTTTTCGCCTACCACTTGTCCAGGACGTCTTTTAGCTGACAAGAAGAGCAAAAAAACTTACCAGCTCTTTATCATAAGTAATGATATTTACAAAGTCATGTCATTACCAAAATAATATGTATGCATTATCACAATAATAAATACTAGCTATATATCACCTGCTGCAAACTTCAGCTGAGGCATTTTTCAAACAGTTTCAGTAACGTTGGTTTTCTTACGGATATTTTCGTTCCCTACAGAAATACCAAGCATTGCTCTTTCCAATGCCCGCTGGGTGAATCTTGAGCCTTATGAGACCGATCACTTCCCCCTTCCGTTAGTTATTACTGGCAACACACATTATTAGATGACTTTTGTCTTGAGACACTGGGGTAATTTGAGCTGGATTTGACGAGAGATCTCTTTTCAAAGTTGGACTTGCCTAGTTGGACTGTCTGATGTCTGTTATAGGTGACAACTTCGAAAGTAGTGTTTATTTATTTATTTAATCTTTATTACATGGAATAGTACATGTTACATGGTACAACGTGGATTGGATATTTGATACGGTTTTTTTGAAAGGTGTGTTCTTACACACATTTGTCTTGAGTGTCTTCACTCGCCATTAATGTTGTTTTGTCCTTGTGCCCTTTCCAGTCCGGAAAGTTGAAAATATCCTCCACCGTAGTAGTGAACAGTTTCGGAGAAATAACGTCTCCCTGTCTCACGCTTTGCTGCAATTGGATTGACTTTGTATTTTAGTTTTGTAATCGGACAGACATAGTGGCATTCTTGTATAGACATTTTAGTACTTCGATATACCCGAGGAACTACTTTCACCTCTAATAGCAACAGGTTTCGTAATTATCAAGATAATTATTTTTTTGGTTAATTATAACTTTAATTAACTGATAAATATTCATAGTTACTGGTAACAATTTTTAAAATACAGAAAGGCATTCATATTAGAATAAACTTTTATTTCTGTTGTTTTAAATTACCTAGAAATATTAGACAGAAAATAACTGAAATCAAATTAGAACTTTTTTTAAAAAAGATTGTAGTCCACAGTGATTCGCTCTCCTTTAAGATTTATTTAACAATTTTTTTTTGAGGTCTATAATTGAACATCCAAATTGTTATGTAAATATTTGAAACATATAATGTCAAATGTTCTTAATGAATGGTTCTTGAAAAATCCACTTTGTCCCTGGAACTCTGAGATGGGACTCGAACACTGAGCTACTCAGGAACTAACGGACTGACGAATTTTTCAAGCATTTATTACTTATACGCTTCTAGAGCAATCTTCAGGCAATCCGCCCGAGCAGCCAAATGGAATATTTTTACAAATATTTAAATCTTTATTTTAAAAAATAGCTCAGTGGTTAGAGCTGTCGCTCGGATTGCGAAAGGTATACTGCGAGCCGATACTCATAACGAGTAAGAATCATAATTATTGCCTAAAGTTTAAAAAAAAAAGCAATTTCAATCTCCAAACAGAATAATTTTTCACACCGAGAATTTTTATTGTTATGGTATCATAGTGGTATTACGCTGTAGGTACATAAGCCGCAATTTTGACGTCATTCTGTGTATTCGTAAGATGTCCACACTGCTACCCAGCAATTAGTATAACTGTGTCCATACATAAACGATGTTTTAGTAATTAATAAATTTATTTGCTCTTAAATGAGGTACATTGTAGATTGAAATACAATTTGAGTTAGCCCATTTAGACATAAGCGATAGCATGCAAATATTGATAAGATTACAAAGTCTCATTAGTCATAATAATTATTAAATATTAAATTAGAAATGTCATTGTTGCCCAAAACTATTATAGAGTACAGTCATTATTCCCACTTGAAAAATGTCAAACAAATTAAGATTCTTAATGCTAAGAGGGTTATTATTAAAAAGCACAATACACATCCAATAACAGTTATTCTGGAATCTCGCGCTCCTTGGAACGATATCAGTAACCAATCTATCACAATTTCTGGTATTCCGTATATATACATTTTACAATAGAAATATAAAAGTCAAATTCCAATATTCGTTTTATGACTATAAATGAATTTTCTAATTGGGGTGTAAAAGAATGTGCGTTATTTCTGCTTCACCATGTATATTTTTCTAATTAGTACCTAGTCACTAACAAAATTATTTTAATTTTTCAACTTAATTATAACAAAAGAAATTGTATGTTTATATTATAAAGTAATAGATGGCAATAAATGATTTATAAAAAAAAAACTATGTTCTGTGCCGAGTGAAAGACTACACGAATTGTGCAATTTCTTAAGTACTTAATGAATGACGTCACGTCACGTCCCACGGTACGGAAATATTCATGGAAGCGCAATTTTTGAAGTCTTACAACTTATTCACGTTTTGAGAAAGAAACAGAAAACAGAACTTTCCCATTGTAGATTGTTGCAATTCGACTAGTGATGTACCGTGCCCGGGCACACTCCCAAGGACTGGAAATTTTGTTGGAAGCATTGCCGGCAACGCTCCCAAAGTGGGAATTTACTGGGATTATTGGATAAATTTTTCGAGTTTTCAAAATATTTCATTTGAATTTGAATAACATTATGGTTACCTGTGTACTGGATACGATAGTTGACATTTTTATATCATAATAACGAATATTCCCAGGATACTGGCAAAGTTCCCGGCAAAATTCCCAGTAATATTTCCAGTTTTTTGCCGGCAAAGTTCCCAAGAATCATCTAAACGATGGGTATCTGTTTAGTGTAGAATATCTTACGATATTAAATGCAAAGTATATATATCAAAATACGTATTAATATCAAAGGTAGACAATTAAAACAGTTTAAAAGAAAATTAATTATTTTTCAATATCCACATATGAAAATAATAACTTAAATAGCGTTTCCGTAAACAAAAATAAACAAACCAACTTTTTACCTATGTACCTATATACTAATATTGTAAAGATGTAAAGTCTCCAAGTTTGTTTTTAAGGGCGAGGGGGGTGGGGGGGTTATCTTTGCACATTCTGATTCGAGATTTAAAATTCTTTCACCTACGAGAAGCTACACCGTATGTGGGTGACATAGGCTATAATTTCCACGGCCGATGTTGCAGGAACACAGTCAGTAATATATACATTTATACAGCGGTCTAATGAAATCATAAAACATTAATAATTTTCCTTTGATTTAAATTGTTATTAACTTAAATACTAGTCTAAATTACTTTTTCCTGTTCTTTCTGTTGTTACTTTGTATCTTTTACGAGTATGAATATGCGAGAATGTCGAAAATGACCTCTCAACCGAAGCTGACGTAGCAGGTACTGGTAAAATTTTAATTGCAATTTGATCCAATAATATATTTTCGAAAAAAGTCATCCACCACTATTTTGGATCGATTATATTAGCAGCTTGCCAAATAATATTTTTTGCATATACCCTATTTCTAAATTTATATTCTGATAGTTCCTTTATCAATTAACAGATTCATCGTTAGTAGTGGCCAAATTCATAATAGCATTACGCCTTCTAAATAATCTTCCTCTCTAAATTGGAACCATGAGATTTTGGATCAAACAGCTGCAAAATGCAAATTATTCTAAGCATTCTGTTTTCGTTCAAGAAACTTGCCTCGGAATTATGGTAAATTATCTTCTACTACATCCATTGCGTTTCTGCTATTTAAAAGCTCCGCGATATCTAATAACGCTCCATAAACTAAATGTATCGTTCAGTAATCTCCCTCAAGCTTAGAGATCCAATGCACAATTGGCGTAAATAATCTGATATGATTTTTAATCGTGGCCCATTTTGATTTATTTAAGATATTTTCTTATAGTTATCCAGTTCCCGAATGTCAGTGATCACCATAGTCGGAAGTATAAGCGTTTAAAAAAAATCCAAACAATGTAAATAACTTCCCCATCTATGTAGTTTTAACTGGTAATACTCAGATTTATTCTCAGAGTCTTTTGAATTCTGATTTTAAAATATGTGATTTTGAATTTTTTGTAGAATTGCAAGATTCTGGTGTTCTCTTTTAAAATTTTATCCATATCCTTTTTTTTGTCGACGGAGCATTGTTTACATGCGTTTACAAGATGATGCACAAATTTGGTTGCGTTCTTTAATGTAAAATTATCGCCACAAAAGCTACATTTATAAGATTACGCCCGATTTCGTAATAAACCGGAGCTGCAGTATTATGTTTGTTACAAAACGTTGAACACGTCGTTGAGCGCAGTGCTGTCATAGCATAGAATTCAGGCAAATAAAACTAAGCACAAAGGTAATAAAGTTTTATTTCATTTAATTTCTATGAGGTGACACCGCTGCGCTCGACGACGAGTTGAGGATGTTTTTAACATACAGATATTGTAGAAGGCGTTACGTATTGAAGTTAGAATCATAACGAGGCAGTGATTTAGTATGCTTATTCAACTATATAATACGACAAAAATTCCTGGGAACTTTCGGCAATATTCCCAATGTGTCCGGAAAATTTCCGGGCATATTGGGAGTGGAAAATTTCCGGCAGTGGCAAAATTCCCAGATGTACATCACTAAATTCGACGTAATAAATGGTGATATTTTTCCTCTTGTTTCCCCTTTATTGAAATAGTCTGTAAAGGACATTGCTCAGCTTCCATACATCGATAGCCCAAAAGCGCAATAGAAATAAAAAACATATTTTCATATTTGGAATTACTACTAAATAATCAAAATGCATTTATAATACGACGGACACTATGTGGAATCGTATTATTACGCAAAATATATTACTTCTTAAGGTTTAAATTTGTTAGGATATTATCGGTAAAGTCGGTTTTTTGTTGTGACGTGTAAAAGTTTTTAAGTCAATAAAAAGAATATAATTCTAATAGTTAAAAAATGATACTTATTGATAAGCTTAAAATAGAAACGTATAGTTTTGTAAACTATCAAAAGATGGCGCCTTAAGTACGTAAATGACATGATGTTAATATGTTTACAAGGAATATAAAGGCAATGTAATAGAAACAAAGTAGTTTTTAGGATGTGTCATGTTAATATCAAGCTTTCTGAATAAATGAGAGTGAATTATCATCATTTCGCAGTTAATGAATTATATATATAGAGAGATGTTTAGTTTGGCAAACCACCAAGAGATGGCGCTTTTAGGAAATGATTTCACGTTTATACTTAAGTTTATTTTCGATCAACTTAATTTAATGTTTTTGTGTTCGATGATTTTAAGGTTATCTAATAAAAATAAATGTTCTTCTTGATCTGACGTGTAAATAACATCCATCTGACTCAATAGAATTTAAGTGTATTGAATGTGAATATTTGCGAGTAAAAATGTTAATGTTAAAGTACTTTTAAATATTAATTTTGGATCGCAGCTTGTCCGTATCAAATAAATATTTAATACCAATTTAATAAATAAAATAATAATTATTATTAAAGTATTAATATTTGTTGGTATTGGGGCCATTTTCGGCGATCTCCTTTAAACGTTTTATTTGATGATAACACCTGCATTTTGTTTTGAAAACCCAGAGCAAAACGCATGTACTATCATCAAATTAAATGATTAAATTTTGCATTTAATTTGATGTTTTTAAATATTTTATTTGAAAATTTAAAATTTTCATAATTGTACAGACTCATTTGATCTTCGTGACGATATACTACTCAAGAACTTGGACCAGAAGTGCGTTCGGTCCTTGAACGGTTGCCGGGTTACAGATGAAATACTAAGATTGGTGCCAGACATCAACAATTTCCGGCTCACACTACGCGCCATCAAACTGTGGGCGAAACGTGAGTACATATGTTTTGTAATAATCATATTAAACTATTTATTTTCTCTTCCAACAAAGGTACGAAACCAGTTATACTCATAAATATATTTGTCTTAAAAATCTTTATAAATAGCAGCACGTTAGGTTACCACAATATGCATGTCAAAAAATCGCTGGGAATTTGAACTCTATTCTTAATATATTAAAGTTTAATATTAAGAGGAGTAAATTGATAGTTTTGTATAATCTGACCGTCTATTTACTCTACATAGCTTCGTGGTGTGGAATCCCCTTACACAAACCAACAACGTAGGTTGTTGACGTTATGTATTGGTGACCTATAAGAAAAATAAAGGTCCAAGAAAAAACCCTTGTGAGACGCTGGGTATTGAATAAGATTCAGATAAATAACAACTATAGTGCACGTAACAATAGTTGAAAAAATTATCGGAATAACGCGTTATGAGAAACAAAAAACGAAAAGAGACAACTCCTTATGTTTAGCGATAAACGATATTTTATTCTATCAAATGCTTTGCAATAATCGAAATCGTATTCCATCGAATGCATTACAATAAACGAAATTCTACTCTATCAGTAAGTTTGTGTGTCCCATGCTATTCGTGATATTATTATATTTATGACTGGATATCTGAAAATTCTTTGCATTTATGGAAGAGAGAATTCCGATGGATACCAATCTATGCTTTTCTATTCTTACTCTTGTACGCTCCGGTAAAAATATATTTACACTAGTGGACGCCCGCGACTTCGTCCGCGTGGAAGTCGGTATCCCGTGGGAGTGAGAAGTTTTCCCAGTAAAAAGTACCCTATGTGTTATTCTGATGTATAACCTATATTGCTGTAAAGTTTTATCCAAATCCGTCCAGTAGTTTTTTCGTGAAAGAGTAACAAACATCCATACATCCATACTTACAAACTTTCGCCTTTATAATATTAATAGGATATCTTACTCTATTCAGATGTTATAAAGTAGTATAATGTAAGTTCTATCGCAAGAGGAGTGTAATGACATAGTGGTGTAATGTAGAGGTTGAGTAACATTCACAGACATCGGTCATAGATCGGGTGACCAAAAATAAATTGTTATTAACTTCGTCCACTGAGTACGAATTATCTCTTATGTTTGATGGCATGTTGCTCCATTTAGATGATTTTTATAACAGCTTCTATAATCTCCGTCGTGCTTACTCCAATTTAAATAAACCATATTGCATTTTTCATAACTAAATCGTTATATAAATTCATATATTGGCCTTTAGTGAAAATAGCATAAAATGTTGAATTCATCTAGATATACGGGCTTTGTTTTTTAAAAGATAAATAACTGAAGTTCACTTCTAAAAAGTGCGTGAAACTGCTGGCAATGATGACGATGAATGTTTCGATATTGATCAGGTCACGGTATATACTCTAATACCTTGGGATACCTGGGCGGAGTATCGTGGGCGATGTTGGTGGCCCGCACCTGCCAGCTGTACCCGAACGCGTTGCCGGCGACGCTGGTGCACAAGTTCTTTTTGGTATTCAGTCAGTGGAAGTGGCCGCAGCCCGTACTTTTGAAGCAACCCGATGCGGTCAACTTGGGCTTCCCCGTCTGGGATCCGAGGGTAAGTTAAAATCGTATATAGTCATAATTAGTGATTGAACTAGTTACTTCAAACTACAGACTATAAGTTTGTACTAAATGCACATTAACTCCGATCGAAAGCGGTTGAAGGAGGCGCAAGAAATGTTTTTTTTTGTGTATTAAAATATGAGTCTCCGCGCTAGACAAAATCCATGGAAGTCAGAATTCTGATGTAACTCACTTACAAGAAATGCTCAGTTAGCAGCTTTATACTCGATCGAGGGCTTCATTATATAGCTTATATATATATTTTGAAATATTTTAATGAATTTTTTAGTTACCTTACTTTTAATAACTGTTAAAAAAATGGAAACTTTCCCTTTTCTGACTTGACAACTACAACCCTAACACCCGTTTTCTGAATTGAGAATTTAAAGTTGAGTACGTCTCAAACCATTGTGTAGTGTATAAGCCATTTTAAACGCCAATTAAACAGGTTTTCATACCAATTTGATAAAACTAGGACTTTTTGCCATATGAAACGTTATAAACTTAAGTTATTGAGAATGATCAGTTGAGATTTTGAGCTTTTCTCAATTCAGAAACCGGGCGTAAGGCTGCATTGCACCAAAGAAGCAATTAAAGTTATGGTTTATGTTAAATTTGACAATAACTGTCAAGCTGAATAACATAAACCATGGAATGCGTTGCACCATCCTTTTTCTCGACATGGTAAAACAATAATTTTAACTAGCGACTATTGGGCGGTTATAGTTAAAGTAATGGCGTCGTCTCACCATTGCTAAATGGTGCAACTGATTATTTGCTTAACTGGTACTTTAACATGTTTGTTATTGTTAAAGTTGGTGTAACATAGCCTAAATGTTTCTTTTACTAATAGTAATTAATAGCATTTCATTATTATTCAGGTTAACATATCAGATCGGTTCCACTTAATGCCAATCATTACGCCGGCGTACCCTCAACAAAACTCTACGTTTAACGTATCGGCTTCTACTCGCAGCGTTATCATGGAAGAATTCAGGCTAGGTATGAAATTTTTTTCATATAAAGTTCCTTGGTGAATTTGTGACTGCAACCAAACACTAGCACATTTCTCACTCATATCTAGTCTATTATTTAATTGTTGTGTTTTGTTTATACAAATAATATTTGAGAAGATCTCTTTAGACTTAGAATACTTTGTTAAGAAAGTTATTATTTTTACAGGATTAGCGATTACGGATGAGATAATGCTCGGAAAATGTAGCTGGGAGAAATTGTTTGAAGCTCCAAACTTCTTCTCTCGGTATAAGCATTTTATTGTATTGTTAGCGGCCGCCGCGCGTGCCGACGATCAGCTTCAATGGTGCGGACTCATCGAGTCGCGTATCAGACATCTTATCAGTGAGTTTTATATTCAATTAAACCTTAACGTAACTAACTACGTGTCTGTGCCTGTTGCCATTTTCCGGCCAAATCACTGTGTCAATGGTTATGAAATTTCACTGTAATTTACAATTTTTAAAACTGAAAACAGGTTTTAGAAGTCTAAACAATCCTTCAAATAATCATTTCCTCGAGTGGTACTCGTTAATGAGAATGGTATATATAAGCCTACTATAGCTTCAGTCAATCATTTAGGAAGCGTAATGATGTATCCTGACTAAGTAAAGATATATGTAAGAAAGCTCGACATACTATGATAACTATACTCAAAATGGTCATTATAAAACTGTAAATATACTACAAATGCTGGAATAGTAATACTATGATGCTTCAAATTGAGGGTCAGGATTGTTTTGTGATCTATCGAAGGTATTCGACTGCGTTAATAACAAGAAATTTAAAAAAGTATTAGGGCATTGTGGTATCCCAATTATAATTAAAAGTTATCGTTAAGCAGAAGAAATCATCACTATGAGCGTGTTCCAAGGGTCAATATTAGGCCCTTTGCTTTTCTTTATGACGACAGATACAATAATTACGCAAAATTTGTGCGATATGTACGTTCCATAAATATATACTTTGTATACATAATTATGTATATTATTTTAAGCCTGCCAATATCGACATAAAAATGGAAACAAGTTGTTGTTTTATGGCTTGGCTAAACAAAATTATCATTTTGCTTTAATTAAGCTCTATTTATTTAAAGGTTTGTTTCAAGTTATGTAAGATGAATATGATACAGTTAATCTTTGGTAACTTTTTGTGTTTAATAGGTTATTTTTATCCAACCAGGGCAAAATTTGCGAAACCCCTTTGAGCACATAGTAGCAATCATTTTTAAATCTGTTGTGCAATATTATAACACAGAAAGGCTAATTATTTTTAAATTAGATCACAGAATCTATGATACTTAACTATGAATCAGAATTGGAAACAGAAAGGGACCTAAATGAAATCCCTGAGGAACCCTTACTTTTCACATGAGATACAGATGATCTATTCACCTATGAAAATAAAATAAAATAAAATTTATAAAATAATCTATTGGGCATATTTTTCTGTATTTTATTGATTAAAATTATATTTAATAAAAAAAATGTTATTTATAACATCTAAAAGTTATCGTATTATTAACAGCAACATTAGAGCGGAATCAGCACATAACAATAGCTCATGTGAATCCGGAATGCTACAACTCTGTGCCGCTGCACGCTAACGACGGACATCCACTAGCGCTACCGCCAGGTACTCCACAAGGTAAGTTTATATACATGTGATCTTGTATTATACATAAAAAAATCTTCCTTTTGAAACACCCTATCTGGGGCTGTCCATTAATCACGTGAGGCTCGAAAGGGGGGGGGGAGGGGTCCATAAAAAAGTCACGAAATATCACAAGGGGGAGGGGGGGTGAAGTAACATATCACGTGTATTTATTTTTTCGGCAAACGCGCGATACTCAATCGAAAAGCGGCGTATATAAGTGTAATAAAATTATGTTTTCGTCAAACGTTCATTAAATAATAATATTCATAAAGTTTTTCGCATTCCTTTCATTATTTTTGTCAATCAAAAACAACCTGAAAGTCCTGTAAACTTTCTGTCTACCTCTAGATTTTATTGTACTCTTTAATTGTCTATAATACAATTAGAAAACTAAGATTCATTGTAAGTACTAAAAATACACGTGATACATGGGGGGGGGGGTAGTCTTAAACCTCACCATGTATCACTATAGGGGAGGGGAGGTTAAAAAATGCCAAAAAAAACATCACGTGATTAATGGACGGCCCCTCTATGAAAAAAAACCGCATCAAAATCCGTTGCGTAGTTTTAAAGATTTAAGCATACTATATCCCTATGATATAGGGACAGAGAAAGCGACTTTGTTTTATATTATGTAGTGACTAAAACAATATGTTATTATACTCATACTTGGAGTATCTAAATATGGTCCTTCTATTAGGTTAGAAGGCTTGGATTTGGACAATGTCCCCTTTTTGGCCATTTGGCACTTCAATCTAAGTAACACCTAAGCAAATAAATATGTTACTTACCCATGAACGGTGCTCAAAATATTGTATTATTTCAAAACTAATACCGTCAACAGCTGTGATGTATCAGAGTTCACTTCCATGTAATTCTGTTTAAACATCTGACCTAATATCATCATTGCGCTACTTTTCATATTTAAACTGTAAAATCAAAACTTTATTTTCTCATACATTGACTGATTTGTTTGAAAATTTATTATGCTGTTATTATATAAAATTTATTATATATAATTAATATTATAAATGTGAAAGTTTCTTTGTTTGGATGTTTGTCCGTCAATCACGCCGAAACTACTGAACGGATTTTGATGAACTTTGGTATACAGATAGGGTATTAGCTGACTTAAATAATAGGATACTTTTTATTCCACTAAACATTTTCCTAGGGTCCACGCGGGCGAAGCCACTGGCGAAAGCTAGTATAATAATAAAACAGTTCAGTATTCATATAAAACCAACAATAGATAGATCTTTTTATAATATTTGATTAATTTTGCATTCACAATGCTACACTGGATCATATTCAAATATAATATAAGAAGAAAATTTCACCTTAATCGGAAGTTAAAAAAAAAATATTTCTGTGGGTTGTTTATTTGCATGAATATTGATGAAGATACGGTCACCAGTAGCTAAAAGTAACAAGTGCTTGAAAAATTCGTCAGGCCTGAGTAGCTCAGTGGTTAGAGCAAGAGGGTTTGAGTTCCATATCAGATTACCTGGGGCCGGTGGAATTTTTAAGCATTAACATTTCTCATTAAGAATAAATTTTTATTTCAATAGGTATATATTTTGCCAACATACTCAATTCCATTAACTTTGTGTTACTTAGACTCGCCAGTACCTACCGATCCAGCTCCCGAACTCAAGAGAAATGACAAAGTGAGTATAGAAACTTCGTTTTTTTAGTTACTTGATATTTCATCGACCAATAGTGTAACTATAACATATTCATGAAATGAAATTTCCTAAATAGTACCCGTGTAGTGGAAAGTGAATTATATAGTATAGTGCTTTTCACATTCAATCACATAGCAGCACTATCAATTATCATCTAAAGATGCAACAGTTAGTCATTTTCTCATCACATATTTTATTTTAAAATCCGATTAATTACGTGTTATCTTCCTGTTCTTAATCCTACTTTAATAAAAATAATATTTTGAGTTCTTAATCCTAATTAGTCGGTTGATAAAAAATAATATTTTTATCTAATACTTAATGTCGGCAGGGTGAAGTGATACCAAACTTCTGCTCGATGTGGTTCATCGGTCTTGTGTTTGAGAAGACAAATCTAACTGTGGACCTCACATATGACATCTCGTCGTTCACCAAAGCGGTACATTATCAAGCTGACAACACAAGCATGCTACGGGAAGGGATGACCATAGAGGTATGTGGATACTATATCTGGTCGAAACTATACATAACTAAACAAGACACCTCGGTGTATTAGAATATGACTTTATAATAGAAATTGACAGCAGAAAATAATAAATGATACAGGCAACACTTCTTTAATTTGATAAAAGAGGAATTTGATGAGACGTGTAAACGCCAAATAAACGAATTCATATTGGTTTCTTATATTTTCACGTAACTTTTAAACGGTTTCATAGCGTTTGTATTTAGTTTTATTGATGTTTCAGACCCTTTACAGGTTCTGTGCTCACATAAGACTAAGGTGTTGATAGTATTTTTAATTAAGAGTATAGCTGCCTTCTTAATAATAATATTGGACACATTCACTATACAAAAAAAAATATATATAGAAACGTTACATTTATTATTATGGCTACTGTAATTTACCATCAGTTCCTAATTAGATGTATATGTGAAATTTATAAATGAATATGTAAGGAACTGTAGGTTTATATGCTTTTGTTGTTTTTTATATGTTCATGTATTTTATTGAAATAGTTTGTTCCTCAATTATATAAAAAAGAACGATTCTGAGTTTTCGGAAAATTTGTCCGTGGACAAACAAAGTGAGCCGTCTTGTTTGCAATCACAATGAACTGAAACTGTTTATGATATGACATGGATATAATGACAATAACAAATGGATCGTTAAACATTGGTTACTATGGTAACCTTTTGTTTCCCTATACAAACTCCCACTCCCATTTTCGTCCCTTTATTTGTTGTTTTTCGGGATAAAATATATGTATCTTATGTTCACCGTAGCTTCCCGTAGAAAGAATTATTAAAATCGGTCCTGTAGTTTCGTTGCAAACAGACAAACAAATCGTTCCTCTTTAATAATATTAGTAAAATTATCTTTTTTGTATAGTAATATTAGTTTATGTAAATGTCATATAAGAAGGGGTATTAAAACACGAGTCTGTTAAACAGACTCGAGTGTTTTAATACTTAAGTTATATGCAGTTTCATACACTACTTTATCTTCACTCATAGGAAAAATTGGAATTCAACAAAGTAGGTAGATTACAAGGAAGTAAATTATCCGTGTGCCATATTTTTCACAGTTCGAACTGCACATGCGTGCGTCTTTTTTTCATATTCATCCTAAAACCATAGACTAGTGTAATGAATAAAAAAATACAGCGGTACTATAATGAGTTTTATTTTTAATTTTATGTATTTGCGTTTAAAAAGTTTGCGTATGTATAGAATCGTCTTTGAATTCGTAATTCGAATTATTCCGATTTGAGTGTAGATAATAGTTATTTAAGATACGAGTGCGGAAAGTAAGGTTTTACACCAAAAACCTTTTACGCTCAAGTTTTTTACAACGTTTTTCAATGCTTTATGCGAGGAAATAAAACAAATATATAGGTTAATAAAACTAAGTATGTATTAAAGGTAAAAATATTTGTTAAAATTAAACGTGATATTTGAACATCTTTCGTGTCATACATTTTTATTTGAAAATATTCGTTCTAGGCTCCTTGAAATACATTTGCCTCTAAAGTTTGTCATATTTTCATCATTATTTTTTGTAAATTTCTTTGGTGCTCGGCAAAAAAAAAAAACACGTGTTTAAAGACTCACTTTCGGTGTTTACGATGGATTAAAAAAATAGCGCTTTATGAGCAACTGCATTGAAAAATACATTCATCATCAGCCCTTTTACGTCCCCACTGCAGGGGCTCAGGCCTTCCTTATGGATGGTTAAGGAGGATGGGCCATGATCCTCCACGCTGGCCCAATGCGGATTGGAGGGTATTAACGACTGCAAATGCAGCCGGGACCAACGGCTTAACGTGCCTCCCGAAGCACGGAGTAGCTCGAGATAATAATTTTTTGGTCACCCATCCCGTGACCGACCCTTGCGAAAGTTGCTTAACGACAACGATCACAGGCCGCGGCGCTAATCCACTACGCCACTGAGCTACTATATGAATATATAATCCACTACGCCACTTGAGCTACTATATGAATATATATAGCTACTATATAAAATACATGATGTTATATGTATATAGGCGCGTCACGTGCGACGTAAACAGTTACACCAGTACCTGTCGCCGTCGCTGCTGAAGAGAGAGCGGACCACCTCCGGCGCCAAGAGGCGACCGCAGGAGCACGCGCCCGCGCCGGCGCCTCTCAAGAAGACCAAACGACTCTCAGAAAGCAGCGTCAGTATAATACACTAATACTAACCATACAGTTTTAATCTCTCGACTGCTAGCATATTGCTCTGACTGTTGTTTTAAGTACAAACTTGTAAAAATATATATGATGTAATTAGTTATTAGTAGTTAGGAAAAAATATATATAAAAAAAATCCAATATTTTACCATCACCCTCCAACTGATTGTGGATGAAATAATAAAAAAAAAATATTTTACCAGAAAATCAAATTTTTATTTCAGTCCCGTATATGGTACACTGAGCCTTAACTATACTATTTGGTACTGAACTACAATAAACGTAATAATTAGGAAACAGTATCTTATTTTAATTATCACGAACTTTTTTTATTTTATAACTATTAACATAATAAAGATATACATTACAAAGTCTGAAACAAAATAAAATAAGAAACAATTATGTTTAAAAAAGCTACTTATGAAAGTTTCAGAAACAATTATTATCTTTATTCAGACAAAGTTCTGCGTGACAATTCTCACAAGATATAAAGTCTTCCTTTGCAACCAAGATATTTATATCTTTCTCTTTTTTCACCCCAGACTGGAAAATGCTCAAACCCTTCACGTCTGACGTCACGAGGAGTATTGGGCCTCTTTCTTTTCTTCTCGATTTCTTCAGACGCAGAAGCGCAAACATACATAAACTTTTGCCTACCTCTAATTTGAACTCTTTTTGTTTTAGTAGAACTTTCGTATTATTCTGTTCCCCAACTCTTTTGTACAATTATCAGCTATTGATCAAAGAAATATCAAGAAGATGATAAAATAGTCTCAACCACAAAAATATCGAAGGGGTGTTTCAAAGTCTATAATTGTTGACTGTAAACTTATGTCTCCAGTAAACGGAGAATGAGGTGAATAAAAAGTTGTTTTTCTCCAAATGAATCTCCTTTTATTTCTTATGGCAACAGACGTAGAACCAAGGGTTCTAGTTGATGAACCCCAAAGTGCCCGTAATTGTCTAATGGTACTTGTAGTTGTCCCTGATGTGCTAGGCTGCGGGTCTGATATTTCAGGCCTTCATAACATGAACATCCTCGTTGGCAGGAGACAAAGATAGTCTTTGCGGTGGTAATGAAGTTTCCTCGTCGCTAAGCGATTTCGATGTCAGCTTTGGATTGACTGCATTAAAAAGTCAAAATCGCCAAAAGTGTAAATAGATGTTTTTGGTTCTTAAGCGTCGATGTTTTATATTATTTATATGCTCCATTCCAGACGGATGAAGTCAGCATCCTCTCGTATAACGATGACTCCAACTCGTCAAACGTATACGAGGTTAACATACAGAACGGCACGGCTCAGGTAGTTGAGCCAGTGGCAAAGACAGCAGACAAGACACAGGAGCATCCACCCTCCACATCCAGCACTATTGCCTGCACGTAGCAGTACGAGGAGTGGCGGCAACGTTTCATATACGGTGCCAACAGTGTCAAACTGAACAGGGTCAAACGACTCTAAGTGGACAGTGATCAATGTGATTTATAGTGTTAAGAATGTGATAACGAAGAAAATGAAACTCGTACGGTAAACGGTGCAATTTGACATGTTTTTGTCTCTGTTCCCTGTATTTTGTGTGTACGGGATTGTGAAACGGCTTCGGTAAGTAGTTTGACTGAAGTGTTTTGTTTGAAGAGAAAGAGATATTTGATATTCGGAGACGACTGATTAGAATGCTTTTGTATGATTGCTGTTTCGGTCTGTTGATAACTCGTTTATGACTTGGCGTTGCAATAAAATCTTTGGTAGATTCTCTGTAAGGAAGCACCTAGTGTTCGATACGAATGTAGTAGCAATAAATATTTGAGTGCTTCAGACAGAGAAGTGCCTTACATTTTATAAGCACTTAAATGGAACTATGACTCAAAAAAGGAAAAATTCAAATAGTAAAAAAAAAGTTAGATGATTACGTGTGGTTAGTATATTACCTCCGCATTTGGACAATGAAAATTTGATTCTGTATATTGCATGAATTTCTATGAAAATTTACATTCATTACTCAGATGGACTTTTATCTACAACAAATATGATTACTGTGACAAATGTCTTTAGGAATCAAATTATAAGAATTTCTGTAGATCAAGATTCATACTTTATATGTCAGTAGCAGGTTGTTTTGTCTGGTGAGTCTTATTTAGTCACACCTAAAGTTTAAAGCAGTGATTCCTTAAGTGGTTCAGGTGGACCCCAGGGATCCGCGAGGGATTCAACGGGGGTCTAAGTTGGCGTTAAATAAATCTAATTTCCGTCGTTAGATCTTCATATTTTGAACGAATTTTGGAAAAGTGGTAAAATGTAGCAGCAGAAGGTCCACCGAAACCAGTAAATTTTTTAAAGTGGTCTACGAGAGCAAATTGTTTGGGAACCTCTGGTTTAAAGTATTAGACAAAATCACTGAAACGCTGCCATGTTAAAATCTCTATTGTTGACGGCTGAGAAGTCGTCCAACTCTATTACTCTGATATATACTAGATAAGAAGGAACTATTTGATGTGGCTAAAAATGTAAGGATGTTTTATATATAATAGCTATATTTTTTATTTAAAGTCTTATTCTCTTTAGATGTCGCACGAAAACAACGTATCGACATGGTGGTTGCGTAAGTTTTTTCAGAACACTAGACTTAGTTGTTGCATTTCTATTGAAAATTATAAAAAAAATAAAATAAAATTAGGAGTTAACAGTTTTTTTTCTATTTTATAATTTGACTAGCGAAGGTCTCTTATTCTTTACGCTCGCCGATGTGTTTGTTTCGCAGGTCGTCGACGCGAAGACGTCGACTATGGGTAAGTTTTCAGTTTATAACAAAATATTATTAATTTTACTGGACATTTGCAAGGAATCTAGTTAAATAAAAACCTTTTTTTGCTTACAATTACGCTATCGAGCAATGTGTTCATTAGATATTACCCACCAATGTGAAAATACTGATTTGTAAATAGTTTATTATTAAAGAATTATGATAACTAACATTTTTTTTTACCATACTTTTAAATAGACTTCCTTGCAAATGCGTTAATAGTACAAAGTGGAAGGAATCCATAAGAAAATATGTTTAAACTTGTTTATATATAAACACCTCTTACAAATGTCGATATTTGTACTTATCGCTGGATAATACTTTATGTTGACACTTGTAGATATATCGATAGATATAATTTATTTTTGCTGGATACGCCGATACGTAATAATGTTATGTTGTTTGCATGTCGTCGTTTGTGATTGGTGTTTTTTATATCTGCCCCATACAAAATCCGTAGTGTGTATTTATGATTTACTATTTTTCTGTATTACCTGTATAATAGATAACGGAGTTAATTTTATTTATACCTAAATTTTTCTACTGTTTCCATTGCTGGCCTGATGGAAAAGCTAAATATTAACATGGACCATTAGTTTCATACAAAATGGAAACTTACCGTTTAAGTTTCAAAATGTCTGTTGTTATCGTCACTAGTGGAGCAGGTTGGCCAATATTATTTGGGCAGGTGATTATAATCATCGTTGGTCAATCAAAATACTTTTGGTACGTACAAAATTGTTGGGAATATATGTTTGACGAATGAAAAAATTGTTTGATTTGGGACCGTTCATTAATCACGTGAGGCTCGAAAGGGAGGGGTGAGGGGGTTCGTAAAAACTCATGATATAACACTAGGGTGAAGGGGGGGCGTAGTGATATATCACGTGTATTTACTTTTTCCTCATACGCGCGATTAATAAACCGAAAAGCGGCATCAAAAATTAAGATTTTTTTGTTGGTACTAAAGATTACACGTGTTTTGGGTGGAGGGGGGGGGGTAAAGTCTTAAACCAAGGGGGAGGGGGATTTAAAAATGCTGTAAAATACATCACGTGATTAATGAACGGCCCCTTACCTGCCTGTACTGCATGATCAGTTATCGAGTAATATTTAATTAGTTGCATTAAATTTTATTATGTTAAATATTAAAGAGTTGTACTGCGATTGAAATCTTTTAATCCAGGGTATTTTGATTTGCGAATGAAAATGATTTGGTCGAAAAAAAATAACCTTGTCCAAGGACAGTTATTTGCACTTTTATTTAGATGTTAAATGAAATGATTCCACCTAGTTATAAGACTCAATGTAGTTGTTTGTAAGGACCTTCTCGATTTGTTTGTAAGTTGTATATATATTGATAGCCAATTGATTATTATATATGAGAATATATATCATGAAAAAATAAATTAAAATTCGACAAAAAAACGAAATAAATGTATATACAGAAATTTGTTTTTTATTTCTCATAACCCTTTAAATGTTGGTCTGCAAAAATAAAGAAATTCTATTTAGTCCGTCAGATATAATACTCGTAGAAGAATGTGAGATACGCTTTTTTTTCCTTCAATTTAACAAGAAATTACTTTGATATTAATAAACATTAAAGTAGAGTCGGAATTCGACAGCACGACTATGTAGAAAATGTACAAACATATAGTTATTTATTGATTACGCAAAAATAAGAATTACCTGTTTAATATTCTTTAATTATCTACCATCATACTTGTACATTATATACGCCAACGTTAGGGGTTGTGAAGAAGAGGATCGATGAAGTGAGACAAGTAATTTTGTGACGTCACATTTCAAAATCTAATTTCAGAGGCGCTGTTTTAATATTTTCATATGGCCACGTTTGTATAGCCAGTCTGTTTACTTTCTAGAACTTTTGCGATCGCACACAGTGCGTGTATCGAAGTGAATAAACTTGTTAGTTTTATGTCACACACAAGGCACAATTTATCTGTACTAATATCATGGACTCCACTAAAGATCCACTAACATTATATAGGAAATATTCGATTGTTTGTTTTTATGCATCGAATAGGCTCCCAAGACTACTGGACCGATTTTGTAAATTCTTCCCCTTACGAGAAGCTATATTATAACAGTGACGTAGGCTATAATATACCTACGCGGGCGAAGTAGCGGGAGAACAGTTTTATAAAGAATTGGATGAAATATTACCTCTGTTTAATGAATAATTGTGATTTATTCATCTTATGAACCCAACATGATAAATAAAGTGATGGGTACGAATCCTATCTCAGGATGCCAGAGACCTAGTGAATTTTTATGTGCTTTTCATTAAGAATATGATGAATAAGGTCGTGAAATGGTAAGACTTTTTTCTACATTTTCTGTCCAAAGTTATGGAGAGTCTTATTTACAGACAGTTCAGTGCCGATCCGGATTTAAGCCTGGACACGTTGTGTAAGTAAGTGTTGGTACACACTGCTCTTGTAAAAATATCTGACAACAAGCGTGCAGGTACGGAGGAAGTAATGCTTACAGTGTTGACATTGCTAGACTTCAGCAATGCTTTCAGCACTGTTGACTATGATATTTAGATGGTTATCTCGGTTCTTAAAAAATATCTCCAACGATAACTGACTGCTTTCGTAGTTTAGAAAGTATTGCTACTTGGAGTAAATCTCTCGGCTTAGAAGTGAACCCGGTAAAATTAAAACTATTATCATAGGGGGTGCCTCTTTCGTGGAAAGGATAAAGAAGAGTCAGTTGTTTTACTTTATCAGTTTGCAGTAGTTTTTGAGCGAAATTAAAGTGTTTAATTAACAGCAGCGTTTTATTTCTTTGTTAACTTACAATGGTTAGCAGAACTTCTTTGTGCAAAGGAGAACCGGAAGAGAGATCACCGGATGTTAGACATTATCAAATGGCTAGTGTAGCAGTGCCATGCATCCTACTCTCAACAAGTTGCAATCATTGAGGGCATTCCGATTCCTTATTCAGATAAAGTGCGTAACCTTGAAGTTTAATTTAACCGAACGCTCTCATGGCGTCCATAGATTGCCGAAATCAGCAGAAAGATGTTTGCTACAGCGGGTCCCTTTGGCGGAACTTTTTACCTACCGCTACCAAGATATCTATCGCGCAATCTCTTCTTTTGCCTATTTTTTTGTTACGCCGATGCATGCTATCCTGATCTTACTTTCTCTAGTAAACTCGAGCGCCTCCAAAACCTTGCCATCCGATTCATTTTCTCCGTAAATACGACTATGGCGACGTAGAGATTTGCATATCTTGTCCCTTCTCTTCTCTGTGTTGTTCAATCCAAAATGCCCTTTTTATCTAAATCAACGTTTCAAGTTTCTATCGTCCACTCATGACCTATCTCTTCGTTTATCAGACAGTCTTCGCCTCTCGGTTCCTCAAAACCATTCGAAATACTACAGTCAATCGTTTACGTTACTCGCGACTCGATTGTGGAATTGTTTGCCCGAAGATATCAGACGCTCACACTCGCTCAATTCATTTAAATATGGAGTCAAAATGCATTTTCTGTCTAGTGGGCATAATTCTTAAAATCTGAATCGTTTATCCTTGCTTTCCTTCTTATAGCTCGCGGTATCTTCTGCTCATGTTTCGTACCCATATATATTTATGTAGTTTTTTATTAACTATTTTTATGAATATATTTTAATTGTCATTTTAAATATTTATTTGGTATTTCCCTACCTTTGTGCACGACCCACAATCACCTGCCACCAGCATCAATCAACAGGTTGTCTAGAAGAAATCGCTGTTCCGCTATAAGACCACCTATTGCACAACTGTAGTTAATTTTTTTTGTACCTTACAACGTATTTATATTTACTTTTTTGTGCAATAAAGTGTCAAAATAATTAAATAAATAAAATACTAACTGGAGTAAATGGAGAGTTTATGGCGTTATGCGCCTACCACACGTGCATGCTTGACCACAGTTTTCCTTGCGCATGCCAGCTTGTACACTGAACACTGTGCGTGTAGTTGGTAAATTGGTAGCATTCGCAAACCCCAAAACTTGGCTGGACGGCATGCGCAAGTAAAACTGTGGTC